AATTCTCGTACTTCTATGGTGTACACACCAAGTGACTGATGGTAATACTATTTTAATAGCAAAAGCTAGAAATAATCCAAAGACAGGGCACAACAAACTCTACAGTTGATACAGGAAAGAGTAGGAAATACTCTGGAGTTAGTAGGTATAGGTAAGAACTTTCTCAACGAAACCCCAGCAGCACAGCAACTAAGAGATAGCATAGATAAATGGGACCTCATAAAGCTAAAAAGCTTCTGTTCATCAAAAGAAATGGTCTCTAAACTGAAGAGAACACCCACAGAGTGGGAGAAAATATTTGCCAACTACACATCAGACAAAGGACTGATAACCAGAATATACAGGGAACTTAAAAAACTAAATTCTCCCAAAACTAATGAACCAATAAAGAAACGGGCATGTGAACGAAACAGAACTTTCTCAAAAGAAGAAATTCAAATGGCCAAAAACACATGAAAAAAATGCTCACCCTCTCTAGCAATAAAGGAAATGCAAATTAAAACCACACTAAGATTCCACCTCACCCCTGTTAGAATAGCCATCATCAGCAACACCACCAACAACAGGTGTTGGCGAGGATGCGGGAAAAAGGAACCCTCTTACACTGTTGGTGGGAATGTAGACTAGTACAACCACTCTGGAAAAAAATTTGGAGGCTACTTAAAAAGCGGACATCGATCTACCATTTGATCCAGCAATACCACTCTTGGGGATATACCCAAAAGACTGTTACTCCAGAGGCACCTGCACACCCATGTTTATTGCGGCACTATTCACAATAGCCAAGTTATGGAAACAGCCAAGATGCCCCACACTGACGAATGGATTAAGAAAATGTGGTATCTATACACAATGGAATTTTATGCAGCCATGAAGAAGAACGAAATGTTATCATTCGCTGGTAAATGGATGGAATTGGAGAACATCATTCTGAGTGAGGTTAGCCTGGCCCAAAAGACCAAAAATCGTATGTTCTCCCTCATATGTGGACATTAGATCAAGGGCAAACACAACAAGGGGATTGGACTTTGAGCACATGATAAAAGCGAGAGCACACAAGGAGGGGTGAGGATAGGTAAGACACCTAAAAAACTAGCTAGCATTTGTTGCCCTTAACGCAGAGAAACTAAAGCAGATACCTTAAAGCAACTGAGGCCAATAGGAAAAGGGGACCAGGAACTAGAGAAAAGGTTAGATCAAAAAGAATTAACCTAGAAGGTAACACCATGCACAGGAAATCAATGTGAGTCAATCCCTGTATAGCTATCCTTATCTCAACCAGCAAAACCCTTGTTCCTTCCTATTATTGCTTATACTCTCTTACAACAAAATTAGAGATAAGGGCAAAATAGTTTCTGCTGGGTATTGAGCGGGGGGAGGGAGGGGGCGGAGTGGGTGGTAAGGGAGGGGGTGGGGGCAGGGGGGAGAAATGACCCAAGCCTTGTATGCACATAGGAATAATAAAACAATAAGAGGCGTCAATGAGTGTGGCAGGCCTGTGCAGTGCTATATGGGCACAAGAGTGAGAGGAGAGACATACCTCTGCACGGTGCTGTGGTGCCATCACAGACCTGTGGTCAGGTGAAACCAGCAAGGTGTAGAAAGTGTCTATCACCGCTCTCCATCTAAAATCAGACAGAGGCGCTAATAATGTACGCACGTATACATATGGGTGTGCACGTGTAGACGTCTGTGTACCAATGTGTATCCGTGTGAGTGTATGTGTGGATCATAAGGTGGATGAAAAGCAAAACTTAAATAAAAGGCTCAGGTTCTCTGTAGGGAGAGGATAAGGATAGACGCAAGACTTTTTGTGTGTGAAAATGGGACCTGTTGAAGCTGTCCTAAGAAGCGGAGGAGGAGGGGTGAAAGAAGAACGATGGAGGGGGAGAAATCTAAGAGATGTTGTAAGCAGTTCTGTAAATGTCACAATGTACCCCCGGGTACAACTCTAATATGCTAAGGAATAACAAAGAAGACTGTTTTCACTGCACTTTCTTTTGGAAACTTAACTTGAAAACCATGTAAACATTTTGCAGATTTAGAAAACGAAACTAAATCACTAAGAAAGCAGGAAGAAAAAAAAAAAGATGAAGGCACAATCTCTAAAAGAAAAAAAAAATACAAAGTAAAAGCAAAAACTCTATACACACTCCAAGGATGAAAGCAAACATGACGCTGGTAATCAAGAGGAAAAGACAATATCAAATATAGAATCAAAGATATTAAATAAAAAGTCATTTAATCTTGAATGACTTGTGAAGTGCATTCACTTAAAAAAGGCATTTTGGTTCAAACCCCACTCCCCCCCCAAACAAAACCCAAAACAAAACCATTGCATAGTTTTGTCCTAGAAAGGCTTAGAAATAACAAATTGAGAGACAGGTACTCAGTGATCAAATGGAGCCTCCTGCATACTGGAGGCACCCCATTCTTCCTTTCTAGCTCCTTGCTCGGTCCTGCTTTCCTAAGTAAATCCTTGCTAAATCTCAAGAAACAATACAAAAAAAAGCAAATGGAAGCGTCAAGGGGACACTTGGCTATGCAAGTCTGCATGACCAACCAATGTGACCAGTTGAAGTTGCAAACTTGGGGTTCCTCAGCAAGTAGGGAGTCCGTAGAGTTGGGATGGGTTAAGGTCAGCCAAAGGAGTAAGCATAGGAAAGGGAAGAGGGCCCAGGACTGAGTTCTGGCACGCTCCTCGTGGACCATGAGGACCAGGAGCTGTGGTTTCTATAGGGGTAGACCCTCCACCATGTTGGAAGCTTGGACCCCAGTGTTGCAGTGTGGAGGTGAGACTATTAAGTCCTGGATGGACTGATGCCACCTTGAGGGAGTAGATGAGGTGTGGCAGATGTTAGGAAAATGCTGCTCACCGCACACAAAGGAGGCTCACGAGAGTTATCTCACATCCAAAGTTTAATAAGCAGGCTGGCTGGCTGAGAGAAAATGGCCCAGCAGCTTCTCTTGGCCGGTCTGGCCTTAAATAGCATTTGGGAGAAAGCAAGGGCAAGGGACTGACAAAGAGAGGTGGTGGGAGATAAGGGACAGTGGGCTTTGATCTGCAAGGGATGAGACCAGCTGCGGCTCAGGCTGCAGAATGGTGGCAAGGGGCAGTTCTTATCAGTTCTTATGGGAAGATTAATTCCCATAAGATCAGGCTGGTTTTACACGAAGAGTGAAATATGCACTTCCCCTGCACCTGTTTTGTTTTCTGTCCCACCGTGTGAGCGCCACCCCCTTACATGTACCCTGGCCATGTAGCCCTCTTCAGAGCCCAGCAGAATCCCATACCATGTCCTGGGGCCCCCAGAACTGAGACTTAAACAACCTGACCTCTCTGGGAACCATCCAGCCTCAGGTGCATCGTTGTAGCTACACAGAACAGAAGGAGACAGATGAGTTCAGTCTTCTCACCTTCCTGGCTTTGGTAGCCATCTTCATCTCCATCCATGCTCCCAAAAGGCCATCTTCTGTCAACCTCTAGTGACCATTTAGAAGTAAAATTCAGATTATTTAACTCAATATACTAAGCCTCTGCAAGAGCTTCCTGTTGAAATCAATGCGAGTCAACTCCCTGTATAGCTATCCTTATCTCAACCAGCAAAAACCCTTGTTCCTTCCTATTATTGCTTATACTCTCTTCTTCAACAAAATTAGAGATAAGGGCAAAATAGAGGGAGTGGGGGAAGGGAGAGAAATGACCCAAGCATTGTATGCACATATGAATAAAAATAAATAATAAATAAATAAACAAATAAATAAATAAATGAATAAATAAATGAATAAATAAAGAGCTTCCTGTTGCTCTTAAGACTAAATTCCAGATTCCTCACTGAGAGAACCTGACTGTTCCCACCTTCTCTGTCCTTCTTTCTCCCTCACTCTTGACAGATCAGTCTCTGCACTGTGCAGCCCTATTTACTTCTCAAATACTTCGGTCTTTTTCAGTTTGGGACATTGAACTGGCTGCTCCCTCAGCCTGGAGGGGGCTGGCTCCTTTTTCTCATTCAAATTTCAGCGCATTGTGGACTTTCTTTTTGGAACTATCTTTAAGGCTGTCTAGCCACTCCAACACAGTACTCAATAGCACTGATATTACCTTACTTATTTTCTAACCCCCACATTGGGATCTAAGCTCTAAGAGAGAAACCTTGCCCTTTAACCCCAGTGCTTTGAGCAGTGATTGCCACATGGAAGATAGTTAATAAATATCTGTTACATAAATGAACAAATAACCTGTGTTTGGTATCCTTTTTAGTTTCTGTAGTCAACTTTCATGATCATCACAAAATACCGGAGGTGGGCTAACTTTATAAAGATAAGAGATTTATCTGACTCAGTTTTGGAAGCTGGAAGTCCAACTAGTAAGGTGCAGGCTTTGGTGAGGGGTCTGTTTGGTTTTGCTATGGTGGGAGGACATGTGTGAGGCACGGATCCCATCTCAAAACATGAAGTCAGAGAGAGATTCAAGAGTCTAGGTCAGGCTTTTATAACAACTCACTCTTGAAAGAGCTCTTTCCAGATGGTCAGTGTTACCCTCTGCGTGCCCCCCATGACCTAAGGATGTCCTACTAGGCCCCTCTTCTTTAGGGTTCCATGATCAAGAACATCTTACGAGGTCTCACCTCTTACAGGGTCCATCACTTTTGGCATCACCTTTCCAAAGCCAGGGAAAGAACCTTGGGCAGCCATGTTTCCTTTGTCTGCGCTTTGTTTTTTTTCTTCGAGCCCACTTTCTCTTTCTTCACCGACTGTGCACAGTAACAAACTCCCAACACTGCTGTAAAGATATTAGAAAGAATACTTTATTCAAAAGCCTGTGAATTAGAGGGTTGTGCAAAGAGGTTACTTTAATCTAGACGCCCCAGGGTCAATGGAACTTGCCCAGTTCCTCCCAGAAAGAGAGCTGGCAAAGCCCCCAGGCAGCCCTGCCAGAGACAGACACCAGAGAGGCCCTGGCTAGTCCTAAAGCACCTGCTGTCTGCTCCAGTGCGGTCATGGGGGAGGCCCTCCACCAGTTCTTCATTTGGGTAGGGGTCTTGGTATGCCTGGTCTTCCTGGTGAAGTGTGTGAGATTCTGCAAATGCATTGTGCTGAGTTTCCGGAAAGTTCAGCCAAGCTCTTTCTTGCAGTCAATGGGACAATGGGCAGGTAAGGAGAAAATTTCCATTCCGGATCTCTGGTTGGGTCTGCTTAGTCTTGTCCAGGTCCCCAAAGATACGTCGTGGCCTTTCTCTTTGACAGCAAAGATGTAATTCCTTTGGGACTCTGAAATTCAATTTAATTACATTTGTGAGGCTGGAAAGCATGAGTGAGATTAGGATCGTCTGGACAAGGAGCCATCATGGTCCCATGGGGGGAATGGCCAAGGGAGGATGAGTCTGAACTCTGACCCAGGCGTCCTGTCTGCCCAACCTTACTACCTGGGTTTTTTGTTTTTTGTTTTTTCTTTTTGGGATTTTCAGTAACCTCACTTTCAGGTTTCTAAACCCTAGCATACTTCCATATTGCTAAAGGGTTTTGCTAGAATTTTGAAATCCAGATGTGAATTTGCTTTATTTAGTTTATTTTAAAAATTGCTCAGGTGTGTTTGATGAGATGAGCGTGTTGCAAAGTCAAGGTCATGAAAGTCTGTATGGGGTTGCAATTTCCCGATGGCTAGGCATGGAATCTAGTCTGGTTTGTGCTGGTTAAATGATGACGCCCAGTGGGATTTATCTACTGGAAGCATCCTGCCAATTTCAGATCCCTGCCTGGGGTCAAGGTGAAGGTCACCAGGTGACGGTTTTAGCCTCTCCTTGAAGGGTGTACTAAGGTCTTTGCAACGGTGGGCTTGAAGTTCGAAGTTGGGCACCAAAAATAAATAAATAAATAAATAAAGTAAATAAATAAATAGATAAAGAAATAAATGTCTAATGGCTTAAGAAAAAAAAAAGAATTCAAACAAGTGCATAGGAAAGATTGTAACACCTATCTAGGGCTTCCCAATAAAACACTGAATACCCAGTGAAATTTGAATTTTCAATAAGGAATAATTTTTTTTAGTATATTACAACCCAAATATTACATGGGATATACTTACACTCAAAAATTTTGCTGTTAACCTGAATGTCAGATGAACGGGGTGTTCTATGTCTTTAGCAAACTGAGGAGCCTTACAAACTTAACAATGGCAAAATTAAAAAAAATTACTTTAGTGAGCAATTGTTCAGAATGACACATGGATTTGTAACCGAGGCTTCTCACATTTCCTTTGTGTGTGTGTGTGTGTACACGTGTGTACACATGGATGTGTGCACACACGTGTGTACATGGATGTGTGCGCATGGTGCATGTGTATACATGGATGTGTGTGCACACGTGGGTGTACATGGATGTGTGTGGGTACATGTGTGCATGCATGTGTGTGCATGGGTGCATGGGTATACATGGATGTGTGTACACATGTGTGCACGTGTATACATGGATGTGTGTGCACACGTGTGTACATGGATGTGTGTGCATGGGTGCACGTGTATACATGGATGTGTGTGCACACGTGTGTACATGGATGTGTGTGGGTACATGTGTTTGCATGGGTACATGTGTGTGCGTGTACAGTGTGCATGCGTGCACGTCTTCCCCCCTCCCCCCTCCCACATAGTTTGCCACCTCTAGTAAAGTCGCTAAGCTGTGTTCTGGAACGGACCGTGCAGATTCAAATTCCCATGTGCTTCGTGGACCTAGAACTCCACACAGCCACGGCCCCCTAAGATGCAGGGCCCGGACCCCCTAAAACCCACACTGCAAAGGAGTTCAAGTGTGCCCATTCGCGGATGAGTCAGGACTGGGCTCAGCAAGGGGGTCACGCCTCTGGGCAGAGGCACACAGCGGGGAAGGGATGCATTTCAAGTGGGGGACAAGAAGAAAAGCCAGCTACTAGGCTCTGACCTTTTAGATTCCTGATGGAATTCTGGAGCCCCACGCTTGACTTCCTGGTCATTCGGTGCTCTGCCTTTGGAGACGGGCAGCAGGGAGACCCCAGCGAGCTAAGAACTTTCTCTTCGTGGATGAGCCAGGATGCCCACGACCCTGGCTTTGCGGGCTCATCCTCACCATGAAAGGAAGTGACTCAGCTAAGGCCCTTGCAACAGTGCACGGCACAAAGCAAACTTGCGACACACATCAAATGGATGTCATTAAAGATTCCAGGCCCTACCCTGGGTGGCTTTGAAGATTCCTCCCAGCGCAGGGCGAGGTGAGGTGTCCAGCAGTTCTGAGTGTAGCACCTTTACCAACGGGGACAAGGAACATGCCTGGATCCACTTAAAAGTCCCTCAAAGCACAAGTAGAAATTGTCCAAATGACACAGCTTTTGGAGTCTTGCTCACTTTGGCCTGCACCTGACTCTCAAGTGAGCTAAACGTAGCTTTCATTCACCTTTTTTGTGTTTATTTCTTTTTAAAAGCATGCCCTTTACTTGTTGGAGCAAAGGTCAGTTGCAGGTGTCTATAATATGACTGAATTGTGAAATTCAAAACTGTGACATTTACACAAATGAGGTTTAACTTCGAATGCCATCAGTAATTGGACCCAGCGTTGGAGACACAGGACACACGAGAATTTGATTGCTGAGCACTGATAGATGGCTGTCACACCCACTTCAACCTCTCCAGGCTCCTTCGGCTCACTGCATTCCTTTACACATTTCTGGATTTTTCTCTTGGTTAGGCCTCCTGACTCCCACCAACTCTGAATGCTGCCGTCCTGTGGGGCGGGGGGTGGGGGGGTGGGAAGGGGGCAGAAGGAGCTTTGAAATGTTCTTGGGATGACACTGGGGCCCTGGGTACAGCGATAACAGGGTACAATGCACGCCCTTGAAGGAGTTAAGGCCTCTGCTGTCTCAGTCCTCCAGGGGGATGGAAGAATGTTTCTTGGCTGAGTTCTTTGTTATACCCCACAGTGTCTTCCACAGCCTCACCAATCCCTCCCACGCCCCGACCCGACCCCCCAAAAAAACAGAACAGAAAAATCGTAATTCCGAATGTCCAGGGAGGGGTCCTCCAGGGCTGGAAACTTGGGGATGGATTAATGCTGCTTTGGAATCCTAGCTGTTAGGCTTGCAGGAAAGTGTGGCCAGAGTGAGAGAGAGAAGTTCAAAGATGCATTCTGTGATCTAAAAACGTCCTGCTCTTTCCACAGTGATCACTGGAGCAGGAGATGGAATTGGGAAGGCGTATTCGTTTGAGGTAAGGTGACTTCTCCTATTTTTTTGATACCTGGTTTTGCTATTGTCCAGCGATCCTCCTGCCTCAGCCTCCCTAATATCTGGGATTACAGGCATATACCACCACGCCCAGCTCCAAAGTTGTCCTCTTAGAGGGTTTCCCTCTCTTGAATTGTGACATAGCCATGTGACATGCACCTCAAACACTGCCAAAGGTGTCCAATTAGGAAGGAAATATCTTCTATAGAAGAGCAGACTAAAAAAAAAAATCATAATCTTATCCCAGACACCTTCTTTAAAAAAATCAACAACAGTGGTGCTCAGAGGTAGCATCACTTTCACCTAGTCAGGAATCCATGGGGTCCTTGCACTTTCTTAAAAAACCACAAACACTTTCTTTTACGAAGCCTTTTCTTGCAGCAAGGGACTATGTTGATTCAAAAGTTATTTCGGGCTGGTGGAGTGGTTCAAGCAGTAAGAGCACTTGCCTAGCAAGTATGAGGCCCTGAGTTCAAACCCCAGGGCTGCCAAAAAAAAAACAAAAACCAAAAACCAAAAAAAACCAGAAGAAGATGTCTGGTTATGCATTTATTTTAGCTGGGCATGTCTATAATCCCAGCTACTCAGGAGGCAGAGATCAGGAGGATGGAAGTTCAAAGCCAGCCCAAGCAAATAGTTCGCGAGACCCTATCTCGAAAAAAACCCATCACAAGAAAAGGGCTGGTGGAGTGGCTCAAGGTGTAGGCCCTGAGTTCAAACCCCAGTACTTTCAAAAAAAGAAAACATCAATAACATCTTAAAAATATAATGAAAGCCGGGTGCTAGTGACCCACACCTGTAATCCTAGCTATTTAGGAGGCCGAGATCAGGAGGATCTCGGTTAGAGGCTAGCCCGGGTAAATAGTTCTCAAAACCCCATCTCCAAAATAACCAGAGCAAAATGGATTGGAAGTGTGGCTCAATGGGTAGAGTGCCTGCTTTGCAAGTGTGACGTCCTGAGTTCAAATCCCAGTCCCACCAAAAAAAATTTTAACAAGAAAAATTTCCATTCACAATAAAAATAAATAATCCTAGAAGCAAATTTAATATACAGTTTGCAGGGTCTTTAAAAAGAAAAATATAATACCCCATTAAGAAATATAAGAGATATTTTAAGTAAGGGAGAAAAATACCACATTCCTGAACAGAAAGATAATCAAAGCCTGGCAATTTCCCCCAAACTTGTCTCAAACCCCAGATTACACATCCCGTTATTTAAAAAAACTTTTACATTCGGTGGCTATCATTTTCTTATGTCAAAAACATGATTTATTTATTTACTTATTTATTGGTGGTACTGGGATTTGAACTCGCGCTTGCCAGGCAGGCACTCTAACACTTGAGCCATTCCACCAGTCCAAACGGCAACAAATGGATAGCCTGTAGTTTAGCCTTTTTTTTTTTTTGTTGGAAATGTTTTTTCCTAGTTTTTCTTTATATAAAATTGGAAACTCCCTTGTGTATAAAACATGAACTTTTCTGCTCTCCTTGGGTGACTTTGGGATTTATTTTCCATGAAGTGGGCTTGTGGGCGTATTTAAGATCTTTAGGCTTCTCCTTAAAGTTTTAGGAGTTTACACTAATTTCTAACAGGGGTGTCTTGGTCAGCTTGGGCTGCTATGACAAATTACCGTAGCCTGGGTGACTTAAACAGCAAACATTTATTTCTCCAGTTTCGGGGGGCTGGGAAGTCCCAAAGCGAGGTGCAGGCAGATCCAAGGTCTGTTGGGTTCTCTTTTCCTGGGTGCATGTCTGGGGGAATGTCACAGACACAGAGAAAGAAATCTCTTGTACCTCTTCTTTTCTTTTTGGTGGTACTGGGGTTTGAACTCAGGGTCTCACATTTGCTTGAGTCACTCCACCAGCCCTTATTGTTGTGATGGCTTTTTTTTTTTTTTTTCAAGAAAGCGTTTTAAGAACTAATTGCCCGGGCTGGTCTTCAAATCGTGATCCTCTTAGTCTCTGCCTCCTTAATAGCTGGGACTACAGGAGTGAGGCACTGACCCCTGGCTCCTGCCTCTTCTTATAGGGGCATTATTAGTCTCTGGATGAGGTTCTACCTTAATTCCTACCTCCCAAAGACCTCTCCTCTCTAAATGTTATCACATGAACAGTCAAGATTTCAACCCATGTTATAAGACTCTGGATTTTATTTAAGTCTGCATGTACTGGTCTATGCTGACATTGGTTCAGCAGAAGGAGAGGGTGGCCAATTTTTCCTACCAAGTAGTGGGGTGGGAGTGAGTCCTGGGTCCTTATTAGGTCTCTATTGGCTGGGGAGGGGGCAGGGATGCCTCTTTGCTACTTCCCGTAGTCTATGGTGGTACTTCAGGGGTGGGGTGGCAACACTGGTTGGTGGTGTAGGGCACGAAGATCCGTGAGGTCTCTCTGCTACCATCCCAGGGGAAGGGAAAGGAGAAAGTATAGGAAGGTGCCTTGTTATTGTTATTCATTCATTTTTTCCATTGGTATTATAAAATACCCAACACTGGATTCTTTCTAAAGAAAAAAGGTAACCAGGTACTGGTGGCTCATATCTGTAATCCTAGCTACTCAGGAGGCAGAGGTCAGGAAGATTGTGGTTCGAAGCCACCCCGGGCAAATAGCTCCATGAGACCCTATCTCAAAAACAAAAAAAAAACAAAAAACCCTTCACAAAAAAGGGCTGGTGGAGTGACTCAAGGTGTAGGCCCTGAGTTCAAACTCAAGTACTACAAAAAAAAAATTTTTTTTTTTTGGTTGGGTCACAATTTTGGACTGGTCGCTCTTTGACTTACCTTTTGGTGAGGGCTGCATGGTGGATGATGTCACAATGTTTGGGGACAGTGATCACGTGGTGAGAGAGGAGCCCATAGAGCAGGGAGGGGTCAAGCTTGCTTCTTTATAGCAATTCACTTTGTTTTTTCTTTTATTCATACGTGCATACAAGGCTTGGGTCATTTCTCCCCCTGCCCCACCCCTCCTTACCACCCCTCCGCCCCTCCTCTCCCCCCACCCCCTCAATACCCGGCAGAAACTATTTTGCCCTTATTCTAATTTTGTTGTAGAGACAGTATAAGCAATAATAGGAAGGAACGAGGGGTTTTGCTGGTTGAGATAAGGATAGCTATACAGGGAGTTGACTTGCAAGCAATTCACTCTTGAGAGGAAAACCAGGGTCCCACAAAAGCTACCTTACTCTCTCCAAGGGTGTGCCCCAATGACCTAAGTATCTCTTGCTAGGCCTCACCTCTTTGGTCCCACCACTCAGCACCACTAATCTGAAGACCGAGCTTCCAGCACTCAAACCTCTGTGGGACAAAACACATCCAGACTGCACCAGAGTGGAAATTTGGGTCTCAGCTGACATTGGGTGGCGGCAGTGGTGACAGGGAGTACAGTCCCAGCTCCTCCACCACTTTCTCTGGTGCCAAGCTGGCCTTGCATCAGCCAGGGTGGGAGCCATGTTTTAGCACTGACCCTTTGCTGGCAGGGTGGGGATCGGAGGCCTGGGGTCATGATTTTTTCTAAGGTGCTTTCTTGGGATACAACAGTTACTGTCTAAATATTTTCTCCTTTTTGGCAGTACTGGGGTTTGAACTCAGGGCCTCACGCTTGCTAGGCAGTTGCCGTTCCACTTGAGCCTCTCCGCCAGTCCCTTTATTTTATTTTTAATAGCATTTATTTTTTTAAAGTTGTGTGGTGATACCTTATTGTGGTTTTGGTTTTCATTTCTCTGGTGGCTAATGGTGCTTGCATTTAATCAAAAGAGACATAAAGAAAAAGACAACAGCAAGAAAGAAGCAAGCAAGCAAACAAAAATTGCTTTGCCCACATAAATCCTGCTAAAGGTGAACGTTGCGAGGGCATAACTTCAGAAAATTCAAGCGTATGGAAATGCACAAAAAAGAGAAGTCAAATTTCATCCCAACCCTTCTGCTGCCTGACTTCTCTCTGCAAAGGAATCCAGGCTTTGACATATCTTGTGTTTCCTTCAGGACTTGGAAAGGAAAACCATCCCTTTCAGAACAAATGAAGAAAACCCTCACTTATGTCAGTGGTATGGTGGGGGAAGCCTGAGACACCCCTGACACCCAGGTGCTTCCTAGAAAGTGGGGGCTGTCCTCAGGGGAGGGTGACTCTGACACCAGAGATGGGAAAGTGCTGTAGACTTTACCAACGGTCAGAAGTTTCCTGAGTCCTTGTGTACCACGTGGAAGAGTCCAGGCAGGACATGCAGACGTGGTGATAATAAAACTTTATTAAGGGGAAGGGGAAGGCATCACAAAAAGCAAAGGTAGCCTCACCTGGCCAGGTGACGGGGAAAGGAAAAAGGAAGGAAGGCCCTTGTTTCAAGGCCTTTTGTCATCACCAGTAACCCATGGATGGGCAAAGGCATGGCCAGTTCTGTTGGGTTGGGCTGTGGTGATTGACAGGGGCTTGCCTTACAATTTATACCTGCACAGGATGGCATTGGGCTGAGATATGGTGTCTTTCCCTATTTTTTTAATCTCCCCCAAAAGGACTGGGTGGGGAGGGGGTCCCCTCAAGTTCCTAGTTTCCATTGCAATTACAGGAAGTTGAGATCCACAACGAAAAGCATTTCGAGGGGTCTCACAAACAAGAAAGCCTCACAAGTGGGAGTGTAGTGAGGATTTAGTTTAAAAAGTCAGGATGAAGAGGGAGAAGTAGGGAAGGGGGTGAGAAACACACAGGAAACGGGAGTGAAAGATCTTTTCTGGGGCCTTTCTATTCTCCGAGCTGGTCATATTTATGTCCAGCAACCCCAGTTATTAGGGACAATGGATACCTGGTAGATCTGTCACCAAAATGTGGCTAAAATGTCTCTAAAACAACAAAGAGATGGTCTAGGCTGACTCAAAATGGGGACCGTTTTTGCAAGTGACCCTCTCAGAGGACATGCTGATGGGAGTGAGCTTCCACTTTGGCTTTTCAGTTTTTAATTCCTGGTTCTGCTGTCACTTGAATAATATTTATCAGTTT